TCTCTCTCTTTTTCTCCCTCTCAGCGTGGTTACTCTGTGTTGCTCTGACTGTTCAGAAACTCACTCTGTAGAGCAGGCCAATCTCAGAGTCAAAGAGATCTGCCTGGCTCTGACATCCAATTGTGAGGATTAAAAGTGTGCACAAAGACCACCAAGCTCTCCGGTCACCCCTAAACTCGTCCCTTCAAAATGAAGAAAGAATACAATAGAGTCTGCCTCTCACCTGTGGTGGCGTTGATGGCCTCCGTGGTGCTATTGGTTCCATTTTCTTCTACCCACACAACAAATTCGTATATGGAAGCCGGAGCAAGTCCATCTACTGTTAATGTGGTGTTTGTGGTGTTTTCAGTTTTATATATATTATCTCCACGGCACTGAACCCAGTAGATCAGGTTTTCAGGGTCAGTATCTTTTGAGGCCTCCCACCTCAGGGTGATGGAGCTGTTTGTCTGGGCCTCTGCCGTCAGGTTACTCACTCCATTTAGAGCTGAAAATTTGTGTGTGGCTTTCAGATTAGAAAGGCATAGATCAACCATTTTCCCTTCCTCTCACCCTGTACCTCCCTCCTCCCCAAATTGAGAAACTACCCTTGTCCTCAGCCCACCAGGGTCCATCAGAGTCAAAGGACAACGATTAAAGGTAGGAATGTACTCACCAGCCGCCCGGGGCACAGCACAGCTGTACAGACCCTAGGGGGATCCAGGTAGGAAGAAGTTAGCTGAGCTAGGTGAGACTGGGGAGGCGGGGCTGACAGACTGTCCTGATCTCTGCCCCCAACCTTTCCTTCCAACTTGACCAAGGAGAGGAATGTGGGGACAGGGTTTGATAAGAGCACCCCAACACTGGTGCTGTTGATTAGGAAGCTGGTCACCCACGGCAGAGGTGGAGCTTCAGGGAAGCAGGAACCAAGGTTGCTTCCCGGATAAGGGCAGGAGACACTGTGAGTACTTTCACTTTCTGAAAAATATAAGCAGAGGCCCTGGGGGAGGGCGCCCAGGGACCAAGAGGGACGACTAGAGGAAAACAAATATGAACTCTGGAGACAGACTGTGGGCTGAGGGAGCTGGGTCAGAGCTTGGTCACTGTGGATCTCTGGGTGTGGAGGAGGGCGGGTAGGCTCCGGGCTTCTGAATCTGAGGAGGAGGGCTGGGCTGTGTGCGAACAGCCTGATCCCATGTTCACTGTCATACCATAGCCTAAAACATCCAATATGGTCAGATTTGTCTATATTCCTCCAATCTCAGAGCTTTCTTCCTTCTCCGGTTAAATACCATCCCCTGCTTCTTCAAGGCTCTGGCTGAGGGCCCTTCCTCCACATCTCTGGGAATGTAGATTCTAGCCCCTTCCTATGCCTCCCTCCCTCCCTTGGCCCCAAGCTCAGTCCTGAGCATGAAAGAACTTACCAGTAGCACCAAGCTCCCCCAGACCCTCAGGTTCCCACCAGCTCTGGCCATGTGTCCCGATATTGCGCAGGGAACACAGGAATCCTAGGTCTGAAGCCTCTACTTGTTGGACTTTAAACCTAAGACTTTTTCTTTTGCCAGCCCATTGGTGAGGCCAGAGGCTAACACTGGAATGGGTGGAGGAGGAAGTAGAAGCTTTAAGCTTGAGAGCCCAGCTGGGCCCTGCCCTGTCTCTCACCCTCCTTCCTTTCCTTCCCAATCCCCCACACCAACAGACATCCTAGGCATCTTCTCTTTGGCCCTTTCCTGAATGCTAAGGGCTCAGCTTCCCCGATTTTGTGCCACAAAAGCTTCTTCTCCACTCAGCTGCCTTCAGAGCTTCTAGGCAAACAGAGGTCGGCTCCCACTGTGTGTGAATGCACCATGCAGATTTCAAAGGCACAAATGTCCATCTGACTGTCCTCTCTTGGTAGATGGAGCACATCACACCCATCCCGAAGCCCGGTGTGGTGACTCACACCTGTAATCCCAGCTTGACAGGGGAAGCTGGAGCAGGGTTATTGTAAATTACAAGCAAGTCAGGACTACACACACACAAACACATATACATTTACACACATAAAGCCACAAATACATATAAATAGGTACCCACATATATACATAAGCATGAGTACATACCCATATGTACACACACATATTCCACACATGTATATACATATAAACACATACATTTACACTCATATACGCACATAGACATCGGCACACACATCCATCCACACATGCATACATATACATATGCATAGATATGCATGTACATACCCATATATACACACACATATTCCACACAAGTATATACATATAAACACATACATTTACACACATATATGCACATAGACATAGGCACACACATCCATCCACTCATGCATGCATATACATATGCTTATATATGTATGTATACATACCCATATGTACACAAACACATTTTACACACATTTATAATGTAAACGCATATGCATGTACACGCATACACACACACACACACACACACACACACAGGTGAGCCCTGCATGTCCCTCATGCCCTGGCCTTTCTATATAGTGTGTCCACCACAGCGCATCCTCCCCCTGTCCTCCAGCAGGCTCACTCCAGTGCCCCCCCCCAGCTTTGACTCAGAAGCAGTCCACACCAGGAAGCCCTGAGCTGCAATCCATCCTGGCAGACTATTTACATTTGCATATTTCCCTCCAAGGGCCTTTCTGTGACCTTAGTGTGACTTCAATCTATGGTGACTCAGATTTCTCCTTTATGAAAAATGGTCACAGCCACTTGTAAACAAGCCACGAAGAATTAGCAAAATGGTTGTCTGGAAAAATCTCACCATAAAGGGTGTGGTTTTGCAATTATCCCTGTGCCCAAGAAGCTGAGCTGGGAGGATGGTATGCTCCATATCAAAGCAAGGTGTGTAATCACATCTGTCATCCCTGCATTGAGGAAGATCAAGGGTCAGAGAGACTAGCATGAGCTACATAGGATCCTGTCTTTATACCCCAGGCTGGCCTCAAACTCCCCATGACCTTCAAGTCCTGATCTGTTCTTCCCAGGTCCACCTCCAGAGAGCTGGGGCTATAATCATCTCCAGGATTTCTGGCTTTACCCAGCACTAGAGATCAAAGCCAGGGCCTTGTACATGTTACGCAAGCAGATCATCAACTGGTTCCATTCCCTGATACAATTTGTATTTCATTTGTTTTTTGAGGCAGAGTCTTGCTATGTAGCTCTTTCTGGTCAGGATCTTGCTATGTAGATCAGACTGGCCTCAAACTCACGGAGTTCTACACTCACCTCAACATCAGTGGTTTTTCCCCAGAGTGTTGAGAATGACAGCATGCCACACCACACCTGGCTGTTTTATTCTTGGGACAGCGTCTCAGGTAGCCTGGGATGGATTGAACTCACCATGTAGCAGAAGCTCTTGTCCACCTGACTGACTTCCCCCCAATGCCACTGTGTCTTTTCTCTCCCTGTCTAGAAGTCTCACACCTGTCCACTATGCCTCTCCCTCTCAAGCGCTGGAAGACACCATTTGTAGAGTGTAAAAAGCAGGAGGTAAAGGTCATGGGGCCATTCTGGGTGGCGTCATCTACTATGACATATTGATCACAATAAGTGTTTGACCTTCTCATCATTTCCCGTAACCTCTCTCACTTATGGAGCAGAGTTACAGAGGGGAAGGGTGGGGAGAGAACTGGCATTTATTGCCCCATCCTGAAACCATCTCAGCCTTGGACAGTGTTCCTGAGTCAGAGAGGAGGAAGCAGGCCTCAAAGGGGTCATAATGCAAGTGCTACACTTTGACCTCCAGGACAGACTTCACTTTCCAAGCTTCCAGGCTTCACCCCTACCCCATCTCAGCCCCCTTTCCACCACATCCCTACCCCATCTCAGTCCCCCTTCCACCACACCCCTACCCCATCTCAGCCCCCCTTCCACCACACCCCTACCCCACCTCAGCCCCCCTCCCACCTCATTCCTACCCCATCCTGAATCTCCTCCCACCCTATCCCATCCCAGCTCCCCCCTCTTCTACATCTCCTAGGATGTGAGGATGCAATTATCTGAAACCCTCGGGGCCTTCCTGAATGTTCCACCATTAGAACCATAGGGAATTTTAGCTTGGTTACTTTAGGGGGGGGTCTGGTTGAAAACTTTTACTACAAAGTGGATATGGTGGCACATACCTGTAATCCCAGCCCTTGAGAGGCAGAAACCCTGTCTGAGGTCAGCCTGATCTACACAGTATGAGTTTAGGGCCAACCTCAATTACATAGAGGCCTCTGCCTTAGGAAAAAAAAAAGGAGGGCCAGATATAATGGCACATGCCCTTAATCCTAGCACTCCAGAGGCAGAGGCAGGTGAGACCAGCCTGGTGGACACAGCTAGTCCCAGGGCAGCCAGGGCTATACGATGAGAGCCTGTCACAAAAAATACAAAAGGAAGCTGGGCGATGGTGGCGCACACCTTTAATCCCAGCACTCGGGAGGCAGAGGCAGGTGGATCTCTGTGAGTTCGAGACCAGCCTGGTCTACAGAGCTAGTTCCAGGACAGGCTCCAAAGCCACAGAGAAACCCTGTCTCGAAAAAAAAAAAATACAAAAGGAATATTAGTTATTGCAGTACACCATAGCCTATAGCTGTACTCTGAGAGCCTGGAGGCAGAGGGCTTGAGTTTAAGGACAGCCTGAACCCTGTCCCCCCAAAATTATTTTTTACTACCTAGTAACATGGCATGTGTTTAATATACACGCGTATAATGGTGCACGTGCCCATGAACAGAAACACAGAGGGCAAAGGTCAACACTGGATGTCTTCCTCTATTGATATTGCTCTCCACCTTATTTTTTTCAGACAGGGCCTTTCACTGTACCTGGAGTTCATGGACTAGCTAAATAGGCTGGTCAGTGAGCTCCCAGGATCCTCTTTCTTCTCCCTGCCCTCAGGTGCCCTTATATACCTGCTGGATATCTAACACTTTACCCACTGAGC